CTGCAGCCCTGAAAGATTCTTGTTTCTCTTGCTTCTTTTAAGTTCATATCTGCAACATCTACGGGGAAGGAGACACACACACTGCCTTGGATCTAAGGTACTGGCTTCCCTTCCTGGTCAGACTCATCAGAAACTTCTCAGCGAAGGCTCTCCAGGAGCAAACCTCTTGAACTGAGACTCCTGCTTAAAGGGAAAAGTACACTGGTTGCCAGTTTCTCTGTGTGGATTCCTGGGAGGGAGCCACCCATCCTGTCAGCCCAAGGACCAGGGTAAAATTGATGGTTGCAGGATTATTTCTGGGTTCTCACTGAGATGATCCACATTCTGGCACGTGTTGGCAGGACTTCTTTCTCCCCTTAGAAGTGTGCCTTGCAACCCACGTCAGATTCTGTGTAGATTGTCAAAGGCTAGAGGAAAGTCCACTTAACCTGGCTTCTTCTTTGCTCTTTTCAGGCCAGATGAGCGTCGCTTTGCTGTCTTCTCCATTGCTGTCTCCTCCGATGGACGAGAAGTGCTAGGAGGGTGAGTGTTCGGAGGACGTCTCCCCCCATTAGTGAGGTAGGAGTTCTCCCAGAGACCAGCTCTGCTGTAACAGAGTGGGCACAGGACACCCCTCCCCAGGCAGCTGGAGAACAACTAGCCCTGCTCCAAGGGCAAGGTTAACGACTTGTTTCACCTCTTGCTTACCATTTCTCCAGCGTGAGATGGGAGGTCTCAACCCTCCTTGCAAACACAGCTAACTCTTCTCCCACCTCCTGTATAAGAAAAGACAAGCGCTTGCCCTGCAGCCAGTTTCTCAAGAGGGACTTGTCCAGAACGCACATAGCTTTGGTCCTCTCCAACCTGGCTCAGGGACCCTCTTTATCCCTTTCCTTTCAGGGCCAATGACGGCTGCCTGTATGTCTTTGATCGAGACCAGAACCGGCGCACCCTTCAGGTATTGCTCCTGAGACTTAGGGCCTCTGCCTCCTGGTCCTTGGCCTCGAAGAAGACCTAAAGGTATCCTGGCTTCCTTCTCCCCTAGATTGAGTCCCATGAGGATGATGTGAATGCAGTGGCCTTTGCTGACATAAGCTCTCAAATCCTGTTCTCTGGGGGTGATGATGCCATCTGCAAAGTGTGGGATCGACGTACCATGCGGGAAGATGACCCCAAGCCCGTGGGTGCACTGGCTGGACACCAGGATGGCATCACCTTCATTGACAGCAAGGTAGGCAGGGAGACAGGACTGCATAGCCAGGCTGCTAAGGTTCCTGTTGTCCAGGAGGGCATCAAAGGTGTGGGACCTTGCCAAGCTCCTTATCAGCCAAGGTTTGCAAGAGCTGGAGTTTAGGGAAAGGTCTTAAGCCAGGAAACATGAGACGCATCGGTACCCACCAGTTGCAGGGCAGGGCTTTCTGTAGAAGACATCTACTCCAGGACAGAATAGGAGGCCCAGCCAGTGCCCTGGGCAAAGAAGGGGAAACTTAGCCAGGGGTAGGATCTGTGGTAGAAAACTGATGGTGAGCTCGCCTGGATGAAGGAGGCAAGCACAGTCAGAGGCCTGGAGTTCTCACCCCTCAACTGGAGAACGGGAGCCGGACTGACAGACCCTGACTTCTGCAAACTCTGACGCTTCATTATCCATCTTGGGATTGACAGGGTGATGCCCGGTATCTCATCTCTAACTCCAAAGACCAGACCATCAAGCTCTGGGATATCCGACGCTTTTCCAGCCGGGAAGGCATGGAAGCCTCACGCCAGGCTGCCACACAGCAAAACTGGGACTACCGCTGGCAGCAGGTGCCCAAAAAAGGTGAGAGTGGAAGGTGGAACCTGAGGTCTGGAGAATGAAGAGTTTGGGGTGGTAGTTAAAATATTGAATGCCTGGCATGGACATGCAGATGTGGCTGTAGCCTGGAGCTGAGTCCTGGAACCCTCTCCCCACTCCCCCTTGCCAGGCATTAACTCTTTGTTTGCTGCACCATGGGAGAGCCAGGGGTCCCACAGCTGGGGACTGGGGATCACTCAGAACCAACCAATGCAAAAGTATTTCAGTATCTTAACAACCTGCAGAGCCCTGTTGGTGAATATCAGCTGACCGTTAGCTGGGGAAAGAGCCACCAGTTGGGGATTGGAAAGGCGATTGTCTGTGAGCATCGATCTTTGCTAAGGACTGGGGATACAGGAGAATCCAGACTCTGACCTAGGGCTCTCCCTTCATCCCTACTCAGCCTGGCGGAAGCTGAAGCTCCCTGGGGACAGCTCCTTGATGACCTACAGGGGCCACGGGGTGCTGCACACCCTCATCCGCTGCCGATTCTCCCCCACTCACAGCACGGGCCAGCAGTTCATCTACAGTGGCTGCTCTACTGGCAAAGTGGTCGGTAAGGATTGTGTCAGCACAGGGGCCTCGAGAAGGGCAGGAAGGTTTCTCTGGCCTTCCAGCTGTAACCCCACCAGTGACCACCTTGAAACACCCAGGGGCGACTACAAGTGGGATTTAATTTGGCTTGGAGTGGAGGAGGCTTACCCAGAGAAATAGAAAACATTCTGTCCATCAGCATTGTAAATTAAGAGAAGGAACATAGAATTCTCGTCAGTAAATATGATAGATTACCAAAAATATGCTTCGTTCTGTTTTTTAGCTAGTCAGGGAAAGAGACTGCAGAGATAAAAAGAAAGACCCAAAAAGACAGCAGCTAGTAGTAAAGGACAGACAGCCACTGAAGCAGGACAAATGCATGAAAAGAAACACAAACACAGCTACAGATATAAGGAGCCCAAGTCAGTGCCCTGCCTGCCGAGGCAGGCACTCAGACGGAGCCCCATCCATAAAGAGAGAAAGATGCAGCCCCGGCCAGATACCGAGCAGGAGCTTCACACACCTATGGAGACAGCCTGTTGTTCACTTTTGTGGTGCCTTCCATATCTTGTGGGCTTTTTAGAAAATTGCTGCTGGGTCTGGCCTGGTGGCACAGTAGTTAAATTCACACGTTCCACTTTGGTGGCCCACAGTTCGCTGGTTCAGATCCCAGGTGTGGACCTATGCACCACTGCCAGGCTGTGGCAGGCATCCCACATATAAAGTAGAGGAAGATGGGCACAGATGTGAGCTCAGGGCCGGTCTTCCTCAGCAAAAAGAGGAGGATTGGCGGCAGATGTTAGCTCAGGGCTAATCTTAAAAAAAAAAAAAGAAAGAAAATTGCTGCTAAAAGCTTTAAAGCCACATGGCATTTTCTTAACTGTAGACCCTGTGAAATTTAGCTCAGGCTCAGAGATACCCAAACTCGGCTAGAGCATACCCTCAACCTGAGGTAGGGAAAAAGAAGAGAAACTGAGGAATGACACCATCCTCTGGTGTGGGCTTTGCTCCCTGGGAGAGTGGGACGTTGCCTAGGAGACACGGTGCTGTTCAGGGAGAGATGAGGGGTGGTTAGAAGCTCCTCTGGCAGCCCTTGTCCACTCTGGCCTTTCCTGGACAGTGTACGACCTCCTCAGCGGCCACATCGTGAAGAAGCTGACCAACCACAAGGCCTGCGTGCGTGATGTCAGTTGGCACCCCTTTGAGGAGAAGATTGTCAGCAGTTCGGTGAGGTTATGAGGGTTAGGGGGGTGACTGTGTGTCTGGGACTTGGACCTGGGAGGGGGCAGCACCCCCTGACTACTTGCCATCTTCTGCCCTGCAGTGGGATGGGAACCTGCGTCTGTGGCAGTACTGCCAGGCTGAGTACTTCCAGGATGACATGCCAGAGTCCGAGGAACGCCCCAGCACCCCTGCTCCAGTGCCCCACCCCTCTACAGCCTTTTCCTCGCCCCAATAGGCCTGACCTCCAGCCTCATACATGAGTGAGCCTCTTGACAAGCTCTCCGCCTCCTCCTTCCTTTCTCCCTTCTGGGGGATCTTCGGGAAATCACCGACATTGGATGGGGAGAAACAGAAGCCCAGGCTTCAGGGCCCCAGCAGAGCCCTGGAAGATCCTCCACGGGGGGCAGAGTGGTCTCAGGTGCTCACACCCAGTTGACTTGGGTCTCTATCTCTGGCCAGTTTCTGGCAGGACTGCCATTATCTGGGGTGTGGCCTTTGTCAGCAGGAGAACCGTCCTGTGTGTTTTTAATCATGTGTGGATGTTAAGTGTTAGCTCCTAGAGTAGATGCTTGGGGCCAGGTCTGAACTGAGCTGTCAGCCGGGCCCATTGCCCAGGACTTCACGTTGAGAATTAGACTGGCCAATCAGAGGGCCAGGCGTCCTGGCCTTTCTCCCAGAGGTCCCAATGGCTAGAGCTCTAGCCCTTTAGGGGAGGGTGGGATGGGTGAGGTGTGTCCTCGGCACCCTCCTTGGACGGGAATTGTGTCTTCTCTCTCCTATGTCTGGGTCTTTGGGGTAGGACAGGCTGTGGTGTGAGAGGCTCCGTGTGGCCCCACACAGGGCAGGCCCTCCCCTCCCAGCGTGTCCATCATGCTGGAGGCCAGCAGCTTCAAGGAGGGCTGTTGAAATAGGACTCCTTCGTCCTCTCAGCGGCTTTGGCTCCCTCAATAAACTCTCTGTGGGAACCGGCTCAGTATCTGTCTCTGTCTCCTTTTCTTTTTCCTGTCTGAGGTCTTTTATCCTCTCACCTCAAGGAAATAGTTTCAACAAAGCCTTCAGATATGCTCCTCTGTGGGAGAAAACATCCTTTTGATGCCCCAAGATGAAGGGGAACACCAAAATCATTTGTTAACTGAGATTTGCAACAGGCGGTCCCTGTCAACCTCAGAAACTTCCCAGCAAGTAGAAATCAAGATAGCAGGAAAAAAGCACATTTTAGATTAGAGCTCAGAATGCTCGCATCGGGCCGGCCGGGTGGTGCAGCGGTTAAGTTCACTCATTCCGCTTCTCGGCGGCCCAGGGTTCGCCAGTGCAGATCCCGGGTGCGGACATGACACTGCTTGGCAAAAGCCATGCTGTGGCAGGCATCCCACGTATAAAGTAGAGGAAGATGGGCATGGATGTTAGCTCAGGGCCAGTCTTCCTCAGCAAAAAGAGGAGGATTGGCAGTAGTTAGCTCAGGGCTACTCTTGCTCAAAAAAAAAAAAACTCGCATCAGCTCTGCTGTGGGGCCAGCCCTGGTGCTGGTCCAGTCTTCCAGAAGAAGTAGCCTAGAGCCAGAGAGAACCTGGTGGGCACTGAGGCCCGGCCCCGTCTGCCACTTCACACTCAGGACTTCCTCCCCCCTCACAGCCACCCTCTGACCAGGTGAGGAAGTGGAGATGTGCAGAGGTCAGGCAGCGCGCAGACAGACCGATGGTGTGGTCAAGAGGGGAGCCGGGCTTCACAGCCACCTCTGATCTGTCTTTCCCCATAACACCTCATTCTCTCTAAGGCAATTTTCAAACCGGATACTCACTTCTGGGGGTTCTCAAAGACATAGCAAGGGGTAATGGGGGTACCTATTTCACCGCAAAACAGGATACAAGAATAAATTGTCCAGATGCCCAGCCTCCATGTGTTCTCTCCTCCAGTTGATTTGCCTGGTGTGAAACTGTCATGCCAGGTCTCCTCCCCCTGCCCCCCGGCCCTTTTCACTCCCCTCTACCGCTTCACCCCAGAGATGCCACCCATCTCACCCAGACCCGTATTACCTCCAGGGCATCAGAGTTAGAGGCAAATTAAAATTATTAGTATCCTCAAAGCCTCATTTAATCAAGGCCCCAAGAACCATCCGTTCTCATTAAGATACGTCTCCAATACAATTTTAGTTTATTATTAATTATCAAAATGTGTGTAATGTTTGTTGCACTAATAATACATTTTGTACTACTTACAATATTATGAAAATTCAATTCAGAAGAAAAAATTTTTAACTTTTAGGGCGTTATGGTCACAGGGAATGTTTAAAAATTGTTTCAAATTATATACTTTTTTTTTTCAGAGAAGTGTGATCAATAAAAGACTTTCAGGCATAAAAACATATTAGGATAAATACTGTAGGGAAAGTAGAATAGAAATATAATTTCTGACTATTAAGGTCTTGTCACATGTTTTTTAAATGGATAATAGGTATATAATCACTGTAGTGTTTAGATTCCATTGGATATATTTAAAAAGTGATATAAATAGCTTTATTTTTGAATGTGAGTATGTACAATACACTGGAAATTATGTCCTTTGCAACTATTTAAAATTACAATGAAAATGTGTCTTGTCAACGTAAAAATGTGTGAGGGGTTCTGTTGGTCTTCATGCATAAGGTCCCTGAGCAGGATCTATGCCAAGGTTTGAGCTTTAGGATCTGCAAGGAACCCGATGGACTAATCCATCTCGATCAGTTTGCAGATGAGGGCCCCGGAGACCAAGGAGGGTTAGTTGATTTTCCCAGTGCCATACAGTTGGGCCTAGAACCCAGGTGTCCTTGCTTGCTCATTCCTTTCGCTACTTCCTGGACCTCCACTGTGCCCTGAAGTCCCACCACCAGTTTTGAAGAATGGGGAAGGAAGACAAAAGGGATCTCAAGACAGTTACTGAATAGCAGGGATATCCCTGGGGTAGGTTACTCTCCCCTCTGTGGCTCCAGCCCCAGTGGCCAGGCTGGGAGGCCAAGTCTTTTGTGCAGCTGAGGCCCAGGATAATTGATTGGATGTCACAACCTAAGGTCCATGGACTCCAGCCTGGGGGTTTTCCTTCTAGGGTCTCCTCCGCCCCCTCTCACCTGGGAGTAAACCTGATCTTTGGGGTTCTGAGAGTCCAGCCTGGGCCACCACCGTCTCATACAGTACACCTCCCCTGGGACACTTGAATTTCATCTATTGGCCATCATAATAAATATACCAAGGAATGGTCCCCCTTTAGATCTGATGTCTTGTGCATTGCACAACCACCACGGTTTACACAGCACTCCTGGGGCCAAACTAACCCCTCAGACCAGACAGGAGCTGGGGCTGGGCCAAGTCCCTGGGGTCACCGTGCACTAAAGTGGCTAACCCTGCTGATATGCCTCCCAGGCCTGAGTTGGACACAGTGCCATGCACAGCCATCTGCAGTGGTGGGCTCTCATGCTCAGAACTCAGGAGACAGGCTGGACCACACCAGTGATGAGGCAGACACAGATTTTTTTAATGACTACCAAGGTTTGGTTAGTTTTATCTTCCCGACCCCTGATTTCCCTGTGGAGCAAACACACAGTAAAGTTGGGGAGTGGTGGGGGTGACTGACCAAACAGAGGCAGACCCAAGCAGGCTGTGGACAAAGACAGCCCTGAACAGCAGGCCTGGCCCTGAAACATGAACTAGAACATGGTTGGAGCTGGGGACACAGACCTAAGAGGGTCAAGGGTACACAGGACTAACAAGAAAGGACACAGGCTGCTGTCAGGACACATACCCGAAGCTAGGACCCTGCTGAGTGGCAGCCCTCTGCCCTGGCCCCTCACTGCCCCCCGCCCCTCTCCCCCGCCTGCCAGCTGCCAACAGAACTCTGCTCTGTGTCTGCCACACCTGTCACTGCCTGTCCTTGTCCAGGGGGTGCCCCATCAGCCCCTCCTCAGCCGCCCAGCAGAGCAAGCAGTTAGTGGGGAGGGGAGGGAACATGGAGTGGGGGCCGGTGGTGGGGGCAGGGCCGGGGGCCGGGGCCCGAATCCGGGCAGTACTGGGCTGCCTGGTCAAGGTGCTGCTCTGGGTGGCCTCTGCTTTGCTGTACTTTGGAAGTGAACAAGCTGCTCGCCTCCTGGGCAGCCCCTGCTTGCGGCGCCTCTACCACGCCTGGTTGGCAGCAGTGGTCATCTTTGGGCCCCTTCTGCAGTTCCACGTCAACCCTCGGACTATCTTCGCCAGCCACGGCAACTTCTTCAACATGTGAGTCCACTCGAGGCTATGGGCACCAGCTCCCTGCGCTCTGGGAGCCTAGCTCCCTCCTGCAGCCTTCTGTCCTCCTGCCAGTCCGGACACTAAAAATAGGCTAGGAGGTTGAGGAGAAGGTCGGAGGAGGGGGAGGGGAACAATCATGGGGGTACAGGGGAAGGCAGGAGCAGAGCTGAAGAGGAAATGTGGCCCCTAGAAGGCTGAATGGCCTCTAAGAAGATGGCAAAGTTTAAGTGGATGGGGGGGTGGGAGGGTGGCAGGGCGGGGTAAGAGGGCACAGGAAACAGAGAACCAGTAATGATATGCAGGACTGGGGACACAGCCGCGATGGGAACACAGATCAGGGACACGGGGCTAAGAGGTCTCAGTAGCTTCCCCTCTTCTCTGCCCACAGAAAGTTTGTGAATTCAGCGTGGGGCTGGACATGCACCTTCCTGGGGGGCTTCGTGTTGCTGGTAGTTTTCCTGGCTACAAGGCGTGTAGCAGTGACTGCCCGGCACCTGAGCCGGCTGGTGGTGGGGGCAGCTGTGTGGCGGGGGGCCGGCCGGGCCTTCCTGCTCATTGAGGACCTGACGGGCTCCTGTTTCGAGCCTCTGCCCCAGGGCCTGCTGCTCCACGAGCTGCCCGACCGCCGCAGCTGCCTGGCGGCCGGCCACCAGTGGCGGGGCTACACCGTTTCCTCCCACACCTTCCTGCTCACCTTCTGCTGCCTGCTCATGGCCGAGGAAGCGGCAGTGTTCGCCAAGTACCTGGCCCACGGGCTGCCCGCCGGTGCGCCCCTGCGCCTCGTCTTCCTACTCAACGTGCTGCTGCTGGGCCTCTGGAACTTCTTGCTGCTCTGTACTGTCATCTATTTCCACCAGTATACTCACAAGGTGGTGGGTGCCGCCGTGGGCACCTTTGCCTGGTACCTCACCTACGGCAGCTGGTATCACCAGCCCTGGTCTCCAGGGAGCCCGGGCCACGGGCTCTTCCCTCACCCACACTCCAGCCGCAAGCACAACTGAAAGAAATAAAAACACATCAGGCCTGGCTCTGGCTCCTCTCATCATTCAGCTGGGGGGACCTAGAAAGGGTGGGATTGTTAGAAGGGTCTGGTGGTCCCAGGGAGGCTCCTCAGCCATTCCTTGCTTTCATCTACCTTGAATGTCCTGCCTTATGCTGGATCTCCATCCCTCCTGCTGTCCTTTCAGCCTCCTAGGCCCTGCACACTTCGAGCTATCTGGGGCTCTGATGTCAAGGAACGGTGCTGCCAGGGCAGATAACAGTGCCCTTAGGTAGGGGCAGCATTCCGGCTGATCAGGGGCTCCATCTCCAGCCTGGTTGATTCATTCTTCCTGCCTCCTCCACTGAACTCCATCCTCTGCCTTCCTCAGGGGCTGCCTATCTGGGCACCCTACTCAGGGACCCTTCCATCCCTGTCTTCCCCGTAGGGGGTCCAAGTGTGCTCCTTTATTTAACAGATGTTTATTGAGCCAAGCATAGTTCCACGCCTTGTGAACAAGAAAGACAAGGTTTCTGCTGTTTAGGGGCTTATGGCTTAATGGGGGAGGCAGATGATAAACACAAATAATAGCAAATTCTAGTATTGTGCTTACTATGTGCCAAGCACTGTTCTAAGTGTCAGTAAGTTCTTCATATAAGTTAACAGATTTAGCCCTCACAACAACACCACTATGAGGTAGGTTTGGTAGTATTCCCATTCTACACTTGTGAATACTAAGCCCCAGAGGTTAAGTAACTTGTTCACAGCTAGTTAATATCAGAGCCAGGACTATAAACCCAGGCAAAATGGGTCCCTTGTCTCTGCTCTAACCAGAGGCCAGCAAACTACAGCCCTCCTGTGGCCAGTTGTCGTATGACCTGAGAGCTAAGAATGGTTTTTGCATTTTTAATGATTGAAAAAATCAAAGAAGAATGATATTTCATGACACATGAAAATTACACGACATTCAAATTCCAGGGTGCATAAATAAAGTTTTATTGGAACCTAGACACACTTATTCATTTAGGCATAGCTGTTTGCCCGCTGCAACGGTAGAGTCAAATAGCAGCTACAGACACCATATGGCCCACAAAGCCTAAAATAAAACATCTGGCCTTTCACAGAAAAAGTTTGCCAACCTCTGGTCTAACCCACACTCTCCTCAAAAAATAAACTGACCAATCTGAGAGAGATAAGTGTTGTGAAGGTACTAAACATGCTGCTTTGTAATAGAGACACTTGGGGGGAGGTACTTTATAAAGGATGATGGAGAGAGTTCTCTCTGAAGAGGTGACATTTCCACTGAGAACCGAATGGCAACGTGAGGCAGGGGAAGGGTGTGTCAGGCAAAGTGATCAACAAGGGCAAAGACCCTGAGGTAGGAATGAACTAGCGACACTGACCGGGTTCGAAACAAATGGTAAGCCCAGATATTTGCAAGTGTAATAAAGGGGAGAAAGCAGTGGAAAGTGAAGTTGAAGGGGACCAGGTGCCGGGCAGGCCAGGCAGGCCTTATGCGCCAGGAGAGCCCTTTAGATTTCACTCTAAGGTCAACAGGAAGTCGAGAAAGTTTTAAGCAAGAGAAAGGCATAATCCCGTCGCTGTGTGGAGTGGGTTATGGAGGAGTGGAGTCCGCACGGGTCAGCAGGGAGCTGACTAGGACCTCGGTTGCGGTGGAGCCAGCGTCTGAATGTCACTGCGTGGGCCAGACGATGCCCGGGGAGCCAAAGGTCCACAACGGCAGGGCTAGGGAAGGGAGGCCAGGTCTTGCTCCATCTCTGAGGAAAGATGGAAGAGAGCCAGATAAGGCTTATCGCTGTCCCAGACAGAGCAGGGGAAGACAAGAGGCCGTGAGGAGTCAGGAGGCAGGGCGGTGGGAAGCGGGGAGGTGGGAAGCGGGGCGTGGGGAGGTGAGGAGGAGAAGGAAGGCGACGAAGGGGGAGGCCGGACGGGCAGAGGCAGTAGGGAGGCTGGAACAGGGAAGTGGGACGGGGAGGCGGGGCTTCGAGAGCGAGGTGGGGAGGGGAAGGGGGAGGTGGCCGAGCGCTGGAAACGCGCCTCTCCGGCTCTAGGGGGAGCCCCGTCTCGGCCGCCCGCCGCGCCTCTCTTCTCCGCCTGTCCCCGCCTCCCCTAGCACCTCCACTACCAGTCCGCAGGAAGGCCGTGCGGGGAGCCGGCACTGCTTTCGCTTTCCCTTCCCTGTGCCCGCTCCCTTCGCGCGCGGCGCCAGGCCCCCGGCCCCGGCCATGGCCACGCTCAGGGTCCAGCCCGAAGCCCAAGCCAAGGTGAGCGCTGCGGGGTCCAGGATGGGCCCAGTGGGGAGGCGTGGCCCCGAAAGCCTGGAAACATCCGCGACCCGGCTCCCCAGCCCCCGACTCTAATCACGGTCGGTCATCGGAGCCCACGTGAGCCTCGGTGCCTGGAGCACCTGAGCCCCGGGGAGACCGTCGAGGTCCGCCTGCAGGGGGAGGCGAGGCGGCCGAGGCTCAGCGGGGTGAGGTGAAGCGGAGAGCAGGCATGGAGGGGAAGTCCGCTGGCGCGGGGCCCGGGCCACACACAGACGGGCTGCGGGACCTGCCCTGCCACCTCGTGGCCTTTCCCACTGGGTGGGCCCTGGGACCCACTCCACAGGCCACTGCGTCCCTGCCCCAGTCGCAGAGGCTCTCCTACAGCCCTCCTCACACAGCCCAGGAGACCCGAGGGATCTCTTCTCACTTGAACCACTCGCGCTTCACTGCCAGGAATGTGCTCATCTCCCAAATCCAGCCCTACTAGGATCCACTCCACCCTCCCCAACCCCACGGGATCCACTCCACCCTTCCCCAGGTCAGGCCCTAAATAAACTGGCCATAAAGTAAGGTGTCTGAAGGGCTGCGTGTGTCCCACAGGTGGATGTGTTCCGTGAGGACCTGTGTTCCAAGGTAAGACCTGTGCCATCAGACCCCACCCCTACGCAACTCCCACTGCTAGCCCTTCCTTGCTTCCTGCCTTCCTGGGAAGGGCATTCCATTCTGACCCCCATTTCCCCCACCCCCACCTCACGCATAGACAGAGAACCTGCTGGGGAGCTATTTCCCCAAGAAGATTTCTGAGTTGGATGCATTTTTAAAGGTACTGGGGCAGGGCAGGGAACTAGAGAGTAGAGGCCAAGGGGAGAGTCTGGGGGGCCATGAAGTGAGGAGGTGAGAGGGATGCCCTTGCCTCCAGCCCTCCTCCCAACCTGCATGCACCAGGAGCCAGTTCTCAATGAAGCCAACCTGAGCAATCTGAAGGCCCCCTTGGACATCCCAGTGCCTGATCCAGTCAAGGAGAAAGAGAAGGAGGAGCGGAAGAAACAGCAGGAGGCAAGCTGGGAAGAGCTGGGAGGAGGGACCCAAGCATGGGGAAAATCAGCCTTAGGCCTGACTCCCAAGGACTCCTCTCTCCCTGCAGAAGGAAGACAAGGATGAAAAGAAGAAAGGGGACGATGAAGACAAAGGTACCCCTGTGGTGGGAAGGGACTTGAGTCTCACCTCCCAGGAGCTCCTCCCTAAGACTTCTCTTCCCTGCCCCTTACACAGTCCTAGCCATGTGACTGACCCATTGTCCACTCCCTAGGCCCTCCCTGTGGCCCAGTGAACTGCAATGAGAAGATTGTAGTCCTTCTGCAGCGCCTAAAGCCTGAGATCAAGGATGTCATTGAGCAGCTCAACCTGGTGAGCCCTCCCACTTCCACCCCAGGCTTCAGGCCAAACCCTTTGTCCTCCTTAGTCTCTGCCAGTTAGGGCATGGCATGTGGTAGGTCTTAACAGAGAGGGCACAGCCAGGGAAGCCAGAATTCCAGGCCCTGGGGCTCAGGATGGACCTGGCATACCTCTACCCACTGTGGGCAAGGAAGCAAAGGAACTTGGGAATTGTGTTGGCGGCTGATGTGGCTTTGATGCCATTCTCTTCTCCCAGGTCACCACCTGGTTGCAGCTGCAGATACCTCGGATTGAGGATGGGAACAATTTCGGAGTGGCTGTCCAGGTAAGAGCGCAGCCCCACTCCTCTGCCTCCTTTCCTCTAATCCATGCTGCTTTCCACTTTCCCCCTTGCATTCTTTCTCCAGGAGAAGGTGTTTGAGCTGATGACCGCCCTTCACACCAAGCTGGAAGGCTTCCACACGCAAATCTCCAAGTGAGTGACTACCCACCTGCACCCGCACGCACACTCTGCTTTCAGCTTGGACAGAGGCCTGGGCTCCCTCCTTCTTTTCCTCTCTACACCTGTCTACTTCCCACAGGTATTTCTCTGAGCGAGGCGATGCTGTGACCAAAGCAGCCAAGCAGCCCCACGTGGTAGGTGAGGCCCAGGTCAGGGTGCGTAGGGGGAAGGACACATTTGAAGTAGGCTTGACCCGGGTCTCCTGCAGGGTGATTATCGGCAGCTGGTGCACGAGCTGGATGAGGCAGAGTACCGGGACATCCGGCTGATGGTCATGGAGATCCGCAATGCTTATGTGAGGAGGCGAGGGCAGGGGTGGGCAGGAGCAGCTTCCCCAGGCCACCCACTCCCTGACCCTGCAGGCTGGGGGTGAAGGGTGTCAAAACTCGACCTCTCACAAGGCTAGAGATGGGGCACAGAGCCACTGGGGGCCAGCAGCTGACCCCCACTCCTCCCTGGCTCTGTAGGCTGTGTTATATGACATCATCCTGAAGAACTTTGAGAAGCTCAAGAAGCCCAGGGGAGAAACAAAGGGAATGATCTATTGAGAGCCTCCTCTCATTCTGCGATGGCTCCAGAAGAGACCTTTCTGCCATTTACAGGGGACTCCAGACCTTCCCCCACCTTCTGCCTGTTGGGGGTTCTCCCTCACCTTGCCTCGCAGGCACAATAAATATCATCATACCGTTGCCCATCAGCCCAAGTCTCTTTATTGGAGCCTGACCACCCACCCCGGCCCTGGCTCAGGTATTTCCATTGGTGGGACCAACCCATTGAGTGATTTGAGTGTTGAGCTGCTGGTTGGTCCAGTCCTGTCGGATGTCGTCGAGGTGGCAGTCAAAGTCCACAAGGTGCTGGTAGGCCCGGCCGTCTAGTAGTGCTCCCACCATGTGCCGTGACTCTTCCCAGTCCCTCCACATCACTCTGAAATAATAACCCCCATGGAGGTCAAACTCAGCAGGCAGTGGGGCCAGACACTTGGCAGATGTTAAGGTCTAGAGAAGGACCCTTGGGGCAGAACCAAGGACAGGAGGCCCAGGAGCTGTGGGCTTCCAAGAAGAGCTGGGAAGAGTGGGGCACTCACAAGTTCTTGTCCTTGGGGACCCAGCGGAGCCCGTGGTTCTCCAGGACGATGACTGGGGGGACATGAGGCTGAGGCACCAGTTTCTGATTATCCAACTGTGTGGACAAGGAAGGGCAGGTGAGGGTTTCAAGGATCCCCCTTCCTACTTTCTCTCCAACTCCCCACCCTGAAACCCAAGCCTCACCATAATAAGTACTGCATCAGGGAAGAATTCTGCAATCCGCCCAGCGATTTTCAAGGCCAGGGGCCCAGGGCTGTGTAAAGGGAAGATCAGAGGAGTGAGCAGCTGACTGTGGGCAACCCTGTGCATTTGAGCTGGGCCTCCTAGGTCTCACAGACGTGGGCACAGTGATGGCCTTTCCCTGTAGCTGGCCTGGGGGGGTCAGGCCTGCTTGATGCTTCATGCACGACAGCTTGGTGCTTGAGTGCTGTGAGGAACAGGTGCTCAGATGCTGATGATGAGAGTGGAAATCAAAAGTGGTCTTTTGGGAGTGTAATTTGGCATAACCAAACTGCATACTATACATATGCTGACCCAGAAATTCCACTTACAAAGAATTTACTGTAATAATAGGACAATGTCTGTAATAACAAAAAATAGGAAACAACCTCAATGTTTAATGTAAGGCATTAAATAAATCATGGTGCCTCCATATTTGTACTATATAGCTATACACTATATCCTATAGGGTAAGGTAGATCTTGCTTTAGAGATGGAAAGATGTCAGATATTAAGTGAGAAGAGAAAAACAAATTACACAACAGTATGTATAATTTGATCCAGAAACATGATTAATACGTAAGTAGAAAACTTTTTCTATACACAGAAAAAGAAATTTCCTTTTTTAAAGTTGCTAGTTGGGCTTCCTCTGTGTTCTTTCAACACCTGGGGAGCACCTCAGTTAAAGCAGGTGTCAGCCTGTTCCTATTGATACACAGTTATCCTCCCCACCCCCACGTCAGCTCCTCCAGGAAGCTCCTCTATATTTCTTTATCTTTCCTCACTCCAATACCCAGCCTAGTGTCTGGTGGACAGGCCTTGCTCCTAAGCATTTGATGAAGACAGATGGAAAGACTGACCAAGAGGGGTTCTCTTGACCGCCCCCCCCCCCAAACCCATTACCGTTAGACTTCTGCTTCTGGCTACCCCACTCACCTCTGGTCGTCCAGAGCTGCATTGGCATGGTAGTACCCAGCCACTACCAGCCCGGCCTGCGCGCCCCACACATCCACCTGCCGTGGGAAAGGGCCATCAGTATCGAAATCGTGCCGCCCGCCCTGTGGGTGCGCACTGCTGCCAAGAAGCCGGGGATGGGCTTGGGCTAGGGGTGTTAGGGGATCGCGGCGGTCTGTGGGCGTCCAGCGGCGGCACCTGGTTGAGGGCGACCTCCAGCATGACGGACAGGGCCAGGTGGCTATGGAACAGGGGCACACAGTCGGTGAGGCACAGGCATTCTTCCGACCGCTGCGCCGGCGCCAGCAACAGCCCGTTGACCGCGGCGTGCGGATACCGGGCGGCATGCAGACACATCTTCACGTAGGCCCGGGCCGAGATCTCCACCTCCCCCATGGCGAGAGGAGCCCCAGCTCGCGTCCGCAAAGTTCCCTCTAGCGCCCCGGCGCCCTCCTTGGCCTTCCCCGTGCCCCCTCCCTTAGGTTCGGCAGTGAGGCTGACTCGGCTCGAAGGCAGCCCGCCGGCTCCGGGCGACCTCGGCCCCGACGCCCGGCCCCCACCTGGCCCGGCACGCCGGCGGTCCAGATTGCATGCTGCGGCGCCGAGCCCCGCCTCCGCCCGCCCCCAGCAGGCGGCCGCAGACCCGCGCCTGTCTGCGGGACCCAGAGCCTGCCGCTCCAAGCCAGACCGGCTTCTGGAGTCCCGCCCACGTGGTGATCTTTGATAGGCTTAGAGGTTCTGCTTTTGCCCAATCACCGGCCGCGTGCAGACCTGGCCCCAGCGAATTGGAAAGAACCCACAACTGTAAACTAAAGAGAACTGCCCGCACCCTGATTGGCTAGGCAGCCCGACTCCGGCTCTGGATTGCAGGATGGCTTCGTCTGTTCCCCGTGCCGCCCGCCCCCACCCCGCAGAGCCAGCGGGCGAAGCGCGCCCTGCGTCGTGTGTCCGGGAGCGGAGGCTCTTGGAGCGTGGGCGCGCAGCAGACCGCCTTGCTTCTGCTATGGAGTGAGTGGATTTGTACTCTAGACCGGCTCTGTCACTTACTAATGAGCTTTGCGACTACAGGGTATATGACCCTTAATGTAGTATCTGCAGAAATAAAGACGGCAATTGGCTGAAGGAGGGGAAAAAAGAACAAAAGGAGAAATTTACATGTAATTTCCTTCACCATAATGCCTTGGGAGCTCCCGGCACCCCCCACCCCCACTCCCCGACCCCCAGCCCTTGAGGAGGCCAACCATTCACCCTTAATTCTCCCACGAAACCTCATTCTCCCTCCAGGCTTGCTTTCAGCTGATGAGGGTTGCTCCTTCACTCCTTCACCTCAGCCACAGAGTTTTCCCTTTGTCCAAAGCCTGATTATTCCTATAAAGTCTCTGCCCAAATGCCACCTCTTCCAGGAAGCACTTATGAGACCCCCAGGATGGAAATAATCTTGTGAAATTCCCAAATACGGGTTATCTGCATGGCTGTCACGGCATGTAAGCGTTTCCACCCTGTTCTTTAAGATGACTTCTTAAGAACAGGATGGGCGTCTGATTCATCTTTGTCTTCCTGGCACCCCTTCCCTGTCCCACCACTGCATTCACATTCAGAGTCTGGAGACAGGCGGCACTCAATAAATGCTTTTTAAATAAATGACACACACTGGAGGTAATCCACACAAAGTATAGGTCATTTATGTCCCTTCTAGCCCTGGGATCAGTACATAGATGGTTTCTCTTCACCCTTGGGGTTGACAATCTTCTCCAGGTTGCTGCTGATGATATGATAAAGCTCAGCCTGGAAGAAGGCCAGAAGGGCAGCAGTCAGGTTCTTGGACTTTCCCCTGCCCACATCCACCTCCCTTAGGGGCTTACTCCACACTCACATAGAAGGCTCTCAGGTCCAGCACCATGGCCCTGAGCTCCCCATAGGCCGCCTCGTCTCGCTCGTGTACCAGGGCCCGGTAATCCATCTGGGATGTAGGAGGCAAAGCTGACTTAGCCCCATGGGAGGTTGGGACATTGGTTGAGTTTCCTCATATAGGGAATAGGTAACTTGAGGATGAGCCCCTTCTCAGCACCAAGAAATGGAATCCCACAGGATCAAGCAGAGAAAGAGGTCAAGGTTTTTGAAGCCCAAATCAGTTTTCTTAGGCAATGCATTTGGCTTAATATTCTCCACATTGGGAAGGTCAGAAATCAGACAAGGAGGACTTCTATCCCTCCACTTCCTCACCCCAACCCCAGCCAGCCGCAGCCAGAAGGCTGGTGGACTATCCACTCACTACATGGGTCTCCTTAGAGGCCTTGGCCACAGCATCCCCGCGTTCTAAGAAGTACCTGCCGGAAGCAAAGGGAATATCCACAAGAATGAGCATTCAGAGAGATATACTCCTTCAGACCCTTCCCAAAGCCCCCCACTATCCTCATGGGACTGTCCAGCTTTGGGAGTCCCAAAGTAACGTCCCTGCAGCCCCCCGTGGTGGTCCTCCAGCTGCCCTCACTTGGAAATGGTTGTCTGGAAGGCTTCCACTTTGGTCTTGACCGCATTCACCCTTTCTAGCACCTTCTCCTGTGGTGACAAAAAGAGATGGGAGGCAAAGAAAACACTTCATCTCCTCCCTCCTTCACTCGCCATCTTCCTCCTTCTCCTGGGTCATGTCTAGCTCCTATCCCTCCCTCCCCAAGTCTCTCCCGCTCTCACCATCCTCACACACCCCTTTCTTACCTGGATTGCCACCCCAAAGTCATTTCCATCCTCAATCTTGGGGATCAGGTGCTGGATCCATGTGATCACCTAAGAGGTATCATGTAGGAATCACTCAACAAACTTACTGGGTTCTTCCTATTACTGCCACTTCCTAATAATAGCCATATTTAATTGACTACTTATTATGTGCCAGGCACTGTGCTATGTATTATATAACTTTTTTAACCCTCATAGCAAACTTTCAAGGTGTATGTTCTTACTGTACCCACTTAACAGATGAAAAAACTGAGTCACAGAAAGTCCAAGTGACTGACTTAGGGTAATCAGCTAGGCAAGTGGTAAGCGTCAGGATCTGAACCCAGGCAGTCTCCCTCTAGGGCCCAAGCTCTTAAACCAACACACTATATCACATCACCTGCACTGTGGACCTGTTACAGCAGTAGATTCTGAGGTTATGGAAGTGGGTACAGTCTCTGATTTGGGGGATACCATTGTGATATCAGAGGTCCAGCAGAATGAGGAGAATAAAAGGTATCCAAACCCAGGCGCAGAAGGAAGTTTCCCATTTTGGGAATAGGTCCCTGAATGAAGGACTTGCATCTCTGAAGGAGACCAGGGCCTGCCTGGCTTGTCTTGTCTTTCTACTTCCCCCAGTTCCCAGGCTTACCAGAATGCATTTTTCTTTAAGAGTCCAGACTTCTGGCTTAACCAGGGCAAGCAGGGCCAGGACCTTCTCGTTCCCAGGGAGAAAGCCGCACTTGGGGACTGTGAGAAAGAGGGGATTCAGGCCCCTTCTCATCCAGCAATCAATGTGCCATTTCCCCTTCCCTAGCCACCCCCTCCTCTCTCACCTTCTTTCTTCTCCTGCTTATCTGTTTCCATCTAAGGTAAAAAAGGGGAAAGTAGCTTTAGAAAAGTCATGGAGGTTGGAGGGTCACCCGTCTCCCCTGGGTTTATAGTCTGAGCCCTACGGCCTGAGTGTCTCACCTCATCATCCTTGGGTGGGGGGTCTGGGATGGGGATGTCCAGTGGGGCCCGGAGAGAGGTCAGGTCAGCCACGTTGAGGGAATCCTCCTGCACAGAGCTCACTGTCAGGGCCTGCCCAGCCTCTTCCCCTCATCCCGAGTCACAGTCTTCCCCTCAACACATCCCACCTGCCCTCTGCCTCTCAGCCTAGGCTCAGGCCTCACACCATCCAAACGTTCCCAGTCCACCAGTCACCACTATTCTCTGCATGCTAAACCCAGTTGTTAGCTAGAGAGGGTGGGTGGAGAGGAGAGAGGCCATGGGGTGGGGCAGGAGGGGCCCACACTACTCACCTGCAAGAGCTGATTCAGGTACATGATTTTCTGTGGCAAGAATCTGTAGAGGAATTCCTCAGCCTGTGGGTTACATTGCAAGGGTGGGGAATCATAGAAGATGCTCAATGAGATGTCTGAGAAGTGGGACTGGAGGGGCCCTTAGAAATCATTGGATCCAATACTAACGAATGAGGAAAGTGAAGCCCTCATTCACTGAGGAAGTGAGGAAAAGTGAAGGGCCTTGCCCAAGTTGGGAAGCAGAGGAAGGTAAGGACTGTGGTATCCCTGCTTTGGGGCCACAGCCTTTTCCTCCACACCAAAAGAGAGGAGAGGAAGTGGCAGAAGTGAGGAGAGTATTAAGAAGGGTCAAATAAAAGGTAGAGATCAATCATTAGGAGCTTATCTTGGGTGAAGGTCTGATAAAGGAAGTAGGGCCCAGGTTTAGAGTGGGTTCAGAAATCACTCTGGGAGGTTGTGACCCTCAAGAATTAGTCCAAGATTCTCAGTCAAATCGCTTAAATCCTGAAGACTTACCTCCTGGAAAAGATTTTGCCTGAAGACATCCACCTGCACAGAGAGCAGTACCCGGATGTCGGTTAAGGGGCTCAGTTGTTAAAAGTAAGATCCCACTCCCAACGGGATGCCCTCCAACTTGGCTCAGGCCTTTGCCACCACAAGCCAGATTTCCCTGGAAGCCCATGCTCAGTGCAGAGACCGGCCAGAGGGCAGGAATCTGGGAATCCCCGGGGAGAAGTGAAAGCACTAAAGGGGGGTTGGGGGAGTTCTCTGGCACGGCCTCGGTCCCCTGGAGCGCCCGGCTGGGCCTCATCCAGGAGGGCTCCCTGGCCCCTTTCTGGCCTCCCAGCCCCCCGTTACCTGTTTGCGGGCTTCCCCGCTCAGGCGCACCCCACAAGGCTTGGCCATGCTGCTCCAGCAGGTAGATCGGTCTCCCGGCTCGCCGCCTGGGCTTTCGCTTTCACTCCCCACGTCCAGGCCCGCCCCCCTCAACCCCGCCCCCTTCTTGCTGTTCCCCCTCCCCCTGGCAGATTGCAAACCGTAGGGAGCCCCTCAGCCATTCTCGGCTAGTTGCTACTAGGAGAGGCGGTGCTGACTCGGTCACAAGCCCAGGGGCTGTCCGAGGGAGGAGCTAGGACCAGCGGGACCGCGGAGACAGAACAGGGGCTGTCCCTCGGAGAAGGGGCGTGGCTTACAGGGAGGGGCAAGGGCCGTCCAGGGGAAGTCCTGGGTTGGTGTGGGAGAGTGTGAAACGGGGTATTCAGTGGTGGGGCTCCCCCTAGAGGGTTCTACTGCGAGGAGGGGCTGGAGAGGGACAGAGCGGGTGGGAGAAGCAGCAGGAGAGAGGGCCTGTTGCTGAGAAGGTCTAGCAGGATATGGAAGGGAGCAAGCGAGGGGGCTTCCTCCGGGAGGGAGCCCTGCCTTCAAGACCTACTGGAGAAGGGGCAGGACTCGCTTTAGTGGGGGCTCAGGCCTGCCAGTGTTGAGTCCCCGGCAGAGTGGGACTTCCCAGTGGGGACCGGAGCGTGGCCGACTAATCAGTCTGGACAGAGAGGAAGGCTTTGCGGGAAATACGGTAACCCCGCGCCTCGGGTTTATCCGGAAAGGGGCGGAACCAGCCTGGAGGAAGGCGGGGAGGCGCTCTAGAACAGAGTTGAAAGCCGAGAGGCTCGGGGAGAGGAGCCAGGGACCATTTGCCCTCTCATTGGCTGAGACTCGGCCTTCCTTCTTAGCCACGCCCCTGATTCCTGGCCCCGCCCTTCCTTAGCCTTAAGCTCCTCCCCTTCCCCTGAAATTGGGTCGCAATCCCGCCTTCTTTCCTAGCACTTCCTGTTCCCGGCTGACCCTGGCTAGGGGCCCAGGGCCGAAGAGTGACCGTGGCCGGAGTGACCCGGGGCGGCTGCGCGGACTGGGCTGGGCCGTGAAGCCGGACACTAGGCCGGAGGGCCGCGCGCAGCCTGCGCCGGGTCCCGGCGGGCGGCGGGGCTGGGGCTGACCCCTATCTCAGCATGCCGGCGGAGGAGGAGCGGGCCTTCCTGGCGGCCCGCGAGGAGCTGGCGAGCGCCCTGAGGAGGGATTCCGGGCAGGCGTTTTCCTCGGAGCAGCTCCGGCCGCTGCTGGTCACCTCTCTGCCGCCAGCAACCCGCTACTTGCAGCTGGACGCCGCACGCCTGGTCCGCTGCAACGCTCACGGAGAGGTGAGGCCCGGCCCCGCTCGGGACGGGGACGTGGGACCTGAGGCCGGGGTGGGCTCACAGCGCTCTGCTCTCTGTCTGCTCCCAGCCCCGAAACTACCTCAACACCCTGTCCACGGCCCTAAACATCCTGGAGAAATACGGCCGCAACCTCCTCAGCCCTCAGCGACCCCGGTACTGGCGCGGGGTCAAGTTTAATAACCCCGTCTTTCGCAGTACGGTGGATGCTGTGCAGGTGAAGCCCCTGGGCCCCGTATGGGAGAAGAGGATTGGCCTGGGCTGGGGGTTGGCTAGAATGGGCCTGAGGCTGTGTTAAATGGGGAGGGGTCCAACCCTATCGGGAAGGGGGCCTCTGGGCGGTGACTGGTTTGAATGTTTGGCAGGGGGGCCGGGATGTTCTGCGATTGTATGGCTACACAGAGGAGCAGCCAGATGGGCTGAGCTTCCCTGAGAGACAGAAGGAGCCAGATGAGCACCAAGTTGCTACAGTCACACTGGACGTGCTGCTGCTTCGGACAGAGCTCAGCCTACTGTTACAGGTGAGGTGTCTCTAGGTGTCTCTAAGCATCAGGGCTGGGGAGCCCAGCCTAGCTCCAAAGCCAATCTGGGGACCCCCATGCTGCTAAACCATGGGCTTAGTCCCCACAGCAACCTGGGAACTCCTCATACTGTTCTCCCTGTGAATGTTGGGGGACCAGGGCTTTCACAGAGGGCCTTGTACTGGGGCTGTTAGGTGGGAACTCCTCTTATCTTGTTTGCAGAATACTCACCCAAGACAGCAAGCACTGGAGCAGCTGCTGAAAGACAAGGTTGAAGATGATGTAAGGAAGGCAGGAATGGGGCTCTGGGGCCTGATGAACGAAGGGGACAGGGGTTGTGGGACTCTGTGTCCCCAAACCCTTTCCTATTCCCTGCCCTTTTTCTTCAGATACTGCAGCTCTCAGAGTTTGCCCCCCTACAGAGAGAGATTGCTCCTGGCCCCCTCACCACACCCTCTGCCCTAGGTATTATGGGTCCCATATTGGGAGGAGGGAGTGTTAGTAGACCATATTGATGGAAATTTGGGGCCCTTCTCTATCTATCTTCTTGGTTATCTTCCCTTTTTTTTTTTTTTTTAAAGAGATTAAAATCATTACCTTGAGACCAGATATGGTGAAAAGTAGTCTGTGGCTTGTCCCCCTCCACAGCAGATTCAGATGTAACCTGGTCTTTTTCAGAAAGATGCTCTCTTTCTTCTCTCCTGTTCTCCAGGCCCCACTCCCGGTCCCTGTTTCCTCTGTGGTTCTGCCCCAGGCACACTGCACTGCTCATCCTGTAAACAGACCTTGTGCCCAGCTTGTGATCTCCTGTTCCACGGGCACCCATTCCGTGCCCATCACCTCCGCCAGACCCTATCTGGGGCCCCCCAGACCACCCGCCTGACCCCCAGGTAAGATGCCTTCTCTTCTGGATGGGAGTGAAATTGAGAGAACTTACAGTTACTTGAGTATTTACCATGCATCAGATTCTATGCTAAAGACTGATTCATAGAGGGCAAGTAACCAGTTACTGCCTCCGGGAGATCATAAACATACATATCAAGCAATAGCAGTCACAACAAGATAGATTATTATGTTGTGCCAATAGGTAGTAGGAGGATGCAACCTAGTCTGAAGGATCATCGGCTCAGTCAGTTGGTGGTATTTTAAGCAACCATTCTGGGTCAGGCCCTGTGTTAGGGATATTTACCAACAAGATGTGAACTTTAAGCAGTCATTTAAACATTGAACAGGCTATGGATATGGGAGTGTTCCAGACAGAACAGTGTGTGCAAAGGCCAGAGCCATGTGTTGTTATGCAGGGAATGAGGGATGCCCAGGGGTAAGGGACCCAGGCACCAGAGTCCCCCTCAGCAGCCATGTCTGCTTTTGCATTACAGCTTACCTGCCCCGGCTCCACCACGGCCTCAGTCAGCCTCCCTGCTGGCCTTCGGAAACAGCTCCCTTTCTCCCCCTGATCCCGCAAGTGCCCGTCTGCCCTGGCACTGTGCTGCCTGTGCCATGTTAAATGAATCTTGGGTAGTGCTCTGTGTGGCCTGCAGTCGGCCCCGAGGCTGTAAGGGGCTAGGGCTAGGGATCGAGGGTCCCCAAGGAGCTGGGCCCCTAGAACCTGAGCTTGCACGGGGTCGCTGGGCCTGCCAGAGCTGCACCTTTGAGAATGAGGCGGCGGCTGTGCTATGTGCCATGTGTGAGCGACCTCGGCTGGCTCAGCCTCCTAGCTTGGTGGTGGATTCTCGGGAGCCTGGCGTTTGCAGGCAGCCCCATCAGGTAACCTGTTCTTGGCCTCCCCAGCTCTTTATTTGCACCTGTTACCACAGGCCATTCTCTACTTCCTCATCCCATTTTCCTTCGGTTCCCCTGTGTCATCCCCCCAGCTCCCTGTATTTCCATCTTGAGCCTCAGCCAGCTTTCAATGGGATAATTCTTTCTGCCTTCCCAGCAGGGGGATACTTTGCTCTCCTCTGCCCAGACTCCATTCTGGTACTGTATTCACTGTACCTTCTGCAACTCGGGCCCTGGCTGGGTGTGTGCTATGTGCAACCGAACCAGCAGCCCCACCCCAGTACAGCACGCCCCCCGGCCCCATGCCAGCTCTTTGGAAGAGCGACTCCCCGAACCAGGGCTTCCACGACGCCTCAGTGCCCCCTTGCCCAGTTCCTGTGGGGACCCTGAGAAGCAGCGCCAAGACAAGATGCGGGAGGAAGGCCTCCAGCTAGTGATGAAGATCCGGGTGAGGATTTGGGCCTGGGATGAAGTGAGGCTGAGCTGGTGGGGGAAGGGAGAGGCTGTTGATTAATGAGTTCTTATAAAACTTGTCATTGTTAGCAGCAGCTGCCTCTTATTAAACACTTCCCCCGTGACAGGTGTCATGCTGTGCACAGCTCACATGATCCACACATCTGAGCTCAACCACTGTTAGCATTTTGGTTGGGGCTGGGAACGGTGGAGGGTTCCCTTCCTGATGGGCCCTCTGTCTGGGTGGGACTGTCCCTTAGGAAGGGGAAGCTGCAGGCGCCTGTCCAGAGGAGGTCTTCTCGGCTCTGCAGTACTCAGGCACCGAGGTGCCTCTGCAGTGGTTGCGCTCAGAGCTGCCCTACGTGCTGGAGATGGTGGCTGAGCTGGCTGGACAGCAGGACCCGGGACTGGGTGCCTTTTCCTGTCAGGAGGCCCGGAAAGCCTGGCTGGATCGTCACGGCAATCTTGATGAAGCTGTGCAGGAGTGTGTGCGGGCCCGGCGAAGGAAGGTACCAGCTGTGCTGGAGGCGGGGCAGGGCTGCGGGTTGTGGGCCTCAGAGCCTTTCACTCTCCTCTGCTTGTTTTTTCCCTTTTCACTCCTTCTCTCCATGCCCAACTGGCAGGTGCAGGAGCTCCGGTCCCTGGGCTTTGGGCCTGAGGAGGGGTCTCTCCAAGCGTTGTTCCAGCACGGGGGTGACGTGACACGGGCCCTGACTGAGCTGCAGCGCCAGCGCCTAGAGCCCTTCCATCAGCGCCTCTGGGACAGTGGCCCTGAGACCACCCCTTCCTGGGACGAGCCAGATAAGCAGGTGCTGGGAGGAGGTGAAGAGCCCACTTGGGCTGAGGGAAGGCTGACGGGTAGGACCCCTGGGGTCTGACAGCATCATCTTCCCTCTCTGCCTGAATCACATTGCAGAGCCTGGTCAGACGGCTTTTGGCGGTCTACGCACTCCCCAGCTGGGGCCGGGCAGAGCTGGCGCTGTCGCTGCTGCAGGAGACACCCAGGAACTATGAGTTGGGGGACGTGGTGGAAGCTGTCAGGCACAGCCAGGACCGGGCCTTCCTCCGCCGCTTGCTTGCCCAAGAATGTGCCGTGTGTGGCTGGGCCCTGCCCCGTAACCGGGTAAGCCCCTCCCCACTGCACCTGACCTTCCAATGACTCTATTCCCCTTGGACCCCAACTCCACCCCAGCCTCATCTCTGGTCCTATCTTTTGCTCTGCAGTTACCCATGTGCCCCTGAAGGGTTCTGGGAAGGGGAGGGCAGGAATAGGCCACCTCCCCTCCTTTTTTTTTAATGTTCTATTATGCAAAATTTCAGGAAGACAATAGTAGAAAAAATGTATAAGAAGTTTCCTCCTCTACCCCCAACCCTCTCACCATGTATTCATCACCATGCTTCTGCAGTTATCAATGTATGGCCAATCCTTATTTCACCTACATACACAGAGGATTATTTTGAAGCAGATCTCAGGCATCATATAGTTTATCTGTAAATATTTCAGTATGTATCTCTAGAAGGTAAGGCTCTTTGAAAACAGCCACAAATACCATTGTCACACCAAAACAAATTAACAGTAATTCTTTAATGTCATCATCAAATATCCAGTTGGTAGGAACAGGCCCCTCATATCCCCTGAGCCCCCACTTACTCTGGGTCGGAAGTGGCAGTTCTTTGACCAAATACAGTCCAGTTTAGTTAGGGTGGCTCTCTGTGTTTTTTGTTTTGTTTTATTTTTACTCCTTATTTTATTTTGTTTTTTTAAAGATCGGCACCTGAGCTAACAACTGTTGCCAATCTTTTTTTTTCTTCTTCTGCTTTTTCTCCCCAAATCCCCCTAGTACATAGTTGTATATTATAGTTGTGGGTCCTTCTAGTTGTGGCCCGTGGGACGCTGTCTCAGCGTGGCCTTATGAGCGATGCCATGTCTGCGCCCAGGATTCAAACTGGTGAAA